TGAACCAACGCCAAATCTGTCTACTTCCATGTTCCCTAATACATGATAAACAGGATTTATTTTCATCTTTGACAGTCTGGTCATCTATTGCTTACAATAAAGACATTCCTAAGTGATGCAGTTACTTTGGTAACTAAAAGAGGAGGTGGCAGGGCTTTCCCCCTCCTACTCTTCCACTCTCATTCACAATTTCCTTCTCACTGCTCCTGATATACACTGTAATTACATTTCTCTTTATAAATACATAGAGAGGGCTGGGCAGCAAAAGAACTGGAGAACCTCAGATACCCACCTCTTCCCTATTGGGTGCATCAGGAGGGGCAGTAGCTGCCACTGCCAACAGCTTGATGGGAGTTGTAGTATCGCTGAAAACATCTGACACCTCCTGAGTCATGGCCTCCTGCATCCGTGCTTTCAGATCCTTAAAAACATTATTTATAAATGAAATTTGACAGAAATATTCCAAAAAAATCTACCTGCTAAAGTCCTTATCTTCCTGAACACATTTATTCATGTAGTTAGTATTTCATTCAGTAAATATTTACTGAGTGTCAATTCAGTGAACTGTACAGTCAAAACCAATGTTATAGGCCCAGACTAATAGGTGGCCCAAATTTAAGCCTGCTGGACTGCAGTGCTGGAATCCATTGGATTCAAATCCCTGGGTCAGCCTGAAAACAAGCTGTGAGTACCCAAGATCCTGAGGAGTACAAAAACAAGGAAAGGAAATTGCTGTGTGACCAGACTCCACAAAGGATGCTTCAGTCTCTCACTCTCTCTCAGTTAAAGGAGCAGGAACCAGCAGTTAGTGTAATGGCTATGTCACTGGACTCCCACGTAGTCGACCGCGGTTTGCATCCCAGACCCGGTGGCTTAAAACTCATGCCGAGCGTGTGTGCATGTATGCCCAAGATCCTGAGAGGAGAATGGAGGAGAAGGGATTGCGGCGTGACCATCCCCTCTGGGGGGTGATTTCTCATTTTCTGTCTCTATGTCTCTCTCTATCTGGCGAGCGCACGCGCCCTATAGCAAAAACCTCTCAAAAAAAAAAAAAAAAAGGAGCTGGATCCCACATGGCTAACTGTGTAGTTTGGACCTTGGCCCAGCTTGAAAAACATGTCAGGTATGTGTGTGTGCTTGCCCCAAATCCCAGCAGGATTTGGAGAAATACAGAAGAGATTGTGTCATGATCACACCCCATTGGGGCTGCTTTCTCTCTTTCTCTTTTTTTCTGTCTCTCTGACAAGTGCACGTTCCCTCTGGCAAGAACAAAAAAAAACAAACAAACAAACAGCTCTCCCTTCCATCCTCATTTTTCAGTAATAGTAAGCATAAAAAGTATAACGAGAAGTGCTCTTGAGTTCTACCTTTAAGGAGTCTTGAAGCTGAGATGCAAGTGCTCTCGCCTGAGGGCTCTCTCCTTCGCCTCTGGCAGCCAGGTCAGCCAGCTGGGCCGTCAGCTGGTCCACTCGATCACACTTAGCAAGAAGATCTTGGCGATAAGGCCCCATCATGACATTAGCCAGACGATGCCCTTCAGCCACAAGTCCCCGGATGGCAGCCTGACCTGAACCAAGAGGAAAATACTAAAACTCACATAGATCCAGAGAAGGCAACTATCATAAGCACACTTGGAGAGAGGGTGTGGAGGAGGTGGGAGGTGGGGAGGTGGGTGCATCCTTAACAAAAGAAGTAATTAGGGAAATACAGAAAAGTTTAAATGATAATAAATCAATTACCTGTAATTCCATTATTTAGAGATCAATACATTGAGTATTTCCTCCCAATCATCTTTTTAAAGTATATACCATAAACCTATACACACATACATTTCTCATGTAAAAAATTGGGATATTGTACATTAATTTTCACTTCCTTATTGTTTTAAACACGAGAATTTTTCCACTTCACTTACTATCTTTAAAAATCATGATCTAAGGCCAGCCCATGGCCTGGTGGTCAAGGTGGCTCACTCCCACATGACTGATCACATGGTTCAAATCCTGGATCCCACCCCCTGAAAAACACACCAGGTTCCTGTGCATGCGTGCCCAAAATCTGAAAAGGAGGAAGAAATAGAGAAGGGATTGCAACCCCATGGGGAGGTGCTTTCTCACTTACTCTCTTTCTGTCTCTCTACACTCCCTCTGGTAATTTTTTTTTTAAGTCATGATCTAGGAGCTAGCAGGTGACATGAAGGTTAAGGTGCTGGACTTGCACATGGACAACCACGGTTCAAGTTCCAAACCTAGCAGCTTGCTTTCTCACTTTCTCTTTCTCTCTTTGTCTCTCTCTGGTTAGTGCATGTATCCTATAGCAAATTTTAAAGTAATAATAATAAATTAAACTAAAGAAATCTTTTTTAAAAAAGTCATGATCTAGGGACCAGGAGGAGGCATGGTGAATAAGGTACTGGACACTCCCACATGGCCAATCACAGTTCAAGTCTCAGACCTGGTTGCTTGCTTTCTCACTTTCCCTCTCTCTCTCTCTCTCTCTCTCTCTGTTTCTCTCTGGTCAAATTAAAATAAATGAATAAACAAATAAAATTAAATAAATAATTCTTTTCTTAATTATGATCTAAAATCTACATATTTTATCATATTGATCATAATTATTTCACCATTTACTTATTATTGAGCATTTACACTGCATACATACATTCATCTATATAACTCCTTAGAAATATCTTTAATTATTTCTTAGAAAAAAGATTCCTATAAGTCAAATTACTGAATCATCAAGTATAAACTTTTTTTTTAAAGAGATTTTTGCTATAGGGCACATGCATTCACTGGAGAGACAGAGGAACAGAAAACCAGAAATCAGACCCCCAAGGGACGTGGCCATGCCACAATCCCTTCTCTTCCATTCTCCTATTGGGATTTTGGGCTATACACACATGCCCAACCTAAGTTTTAAGCTGGGACTCAAACCGTGGTTGACTATGTGGGAGTCCAGCAAACCATTCCACCATCTGCTGGTCCCAACAAGTATAAACATTTTTTTAATGACTTCTTTTTTTAATTATTTTATTTAACTTCATTTAATCTACTTATTTATTTTAATTTGACCAGAGAGGGACAGAGTAAGAGAACGAGAGAGAGAGAGGGAAAGTGAGAAAGCAAGCCATGAAGTCTGGGAATTGAACTGCAGTTGGCCATGTGGGAGTCCAGCACCCTTAACCACCACGCTACCTGCCAGTCTCTCAAGTACAAACTTTTAACAATCTCTTGACATATAATACCAACTTCAGAAAGTTTGTAGCAATTTATTTATCTAACAGTAAATTATAAATCTGCCTGGCTCCCCAGTTTCTCATCAACCCTGAGTATCACTAATTTAAAAACTCTTCCTTTTATCCAATAAATATAGCAAATAGATCACTCAGCTTTGGCAGGCTTGCTATTATGAAATGACCTAAATTCTTATAGATCCATTCCTAAAGCCTCCCCCAAAATCAGAATTTTAAGTTATAAATTCTAGAGATCGCTATGTGATGTAGGACCTCCACAACTGAAATAACTGGTAGTTAAGTGCCTTTTAGTTATTTTTTTAAATTACATTTAACTAGGTGTTTTGGAAGGACAAATAAAATAGAAGTATAATAAAGGACTGGCAATAATTAGTTCAAATTTTGAACTCCAGCATGAAGGCCCTTCTATTTGCCTATAGCAAAACCACTTATTTCTAATGCTTCTTGGGAAATCAAAAAAATTGTATCTGCTGCATTTAGAAATAGAATCACACTGGAGCCAGCAGGGCATAGTGATTAAAGCACTGGACTCCCAGGTGGTTGACTGTGGTTTGAGTACAAATCCAGTGACTTGAAACTCACAGCAAGCGTGTGTGTGTGTGTGTGTGTGTGTGTGCCCAAAATCCTGAGAGGAGAATGGAGAAGGGATTACAGCATGGACATTCCCCTTAGAGGATGATTTCTTGCTTTCTGTCTCTCTGTCTTTCCAGTGAGCAAATCTCTCAAAAAAGTGAAAAAAGAAAAGCAACATACCTATCAATGACTGAATTAGTTTTTCTGTACCTAATCACAGATGTCACAAAACCTCTATCAACAACTTGCTTATTGCCACTAAGACCAGTTTAATGAGAATTAAGTACACTGAATCACAGAAAAAGACAAGATACTCAGACTGGCAAGAGAGAAACAAATTACCTACAAAGGATATCCCATCAGGTTAATAGCGGGCCTCTCATCAAAAACAATGCAAGCAAGGAAAGAATAGGAAAATATATTCAAAGGGTTGAGTGAAAAACAATTCTGACCAAGAATACTAAACCTGGCAAGACTATCCTTCATATAGGAAGAAAAGACAAGAACATTCTCAAATAAACAAAACCTGAAAGAATTTACTGACACCAGACTAGTTCTCCAAAGAGTTCTGAAGGGAGTGTAATATCAGGAAAACTAAAGTCAGACACACAGAAATAGGAGTTCAAAAACATCTAAGAAAAGGACCAGCTTAATGGTAGGGACAATTCCAGAGTTGAGTATTATCTTCTAGAATTTAAATGGAAAGCTTGTACCACAACAGAAGTTAGATTAAAGTACATGAGACTGAGCTGATGAAATACAATTTTATGAATTTTGACTAAAACAATACTGATCTTTTTCTATGCTTTTTTGTACTCCAGAGATAAGGATTTCTGTCTTCTCTTGAATTACTGACAGATTCATGTAACCACTGTTTGAACAGAATCCTAACCTGCTTCCTGGCTTTAAGTCTTAAGCAAAGTTCTCTTAACATTTTTTTTAAATTTTTATTCATTAAAGCTAAAATTGCCGTTCTTGAAATTAAAAAGAATGTATTTAAAAATATCTATTTAATGACCACAGTAAGTTATATAGCCTCAGCTAAGTGCTATTTTTTATATTCATTCCACTCACAGTTTCATACCTAAAGTCAAACATTTGTTCACAGATATTTATATATCAGCTGAACTTGCTATTGACAGTAGTTAGATCAATTAAGATATTTTGTTAACCAATAAAATGTGTGTGTGTGGGGGAAGGAATAGAAAGCAACTGCAGACCCCAGAGATAGTGTGGGGGAAGGGTAGGAAATGGCAGAGGGTGAGAAATGGGGATGGGAATATACACACACACACACACACACACACACATACATACACCTAATGTATTATATATAAATATATACATAAATAATGAACACATAAAATTTTAATATATTTTTAAAATATATAATACACAAATATATATATTTCTTATATATGTAATATATATTATCTATTAACTATATAGACTATATAAATGGAATATTACCTATTGATGATAACATGTATGACTAAGCCACTATACAGTGTATTCTGGATGGGAAACTGCATTTTGCATGCTGTGATGATGTTCAGTGAATAAATGTAAAGTAAATAAATAAAATACAAAACAAAAAAGAATTAAGTGCACTGATGCCCTTACCAACTCCCCGGTCATCCACTGTGGGATTATCAATCCATCTCTGTGCTTGTTCAATCTTGCCCTCAAGGTGGACTGCTGCTTTGGCAGGTCTGCTATTGGCTACAGCCCTGTTGGTTTTGGTCTGCAGGTTCTGCAGGGCTGTAGCAACTTGTTTGGCCAATGCTCGAGCCTCTGGGGAATCTCCTTTCCCCCTGCAGTGAAAAAAATGGCCATTCTATCAAAACGGACTATTTACATTGAGATAACTTAATTGCTAATGACAAATGCTAATGAGATGACAAATTGCTAATGATTGTTATTAACTTGGCTTGAAAAGAGTGGCCCTTAAATAAGAAATTAATAATTTAAATTCAAATCATTTTATCCTAATTAAGACATTAAATATGAGTTGTTTCAGTCTAGCTCAATCATATGTATGTGTTGATAAAGGAATAGATGTAGATATAGATACAGATGACTTCAAAGAACTCTCACTGAAAAAAAAATTAGGCATTCTCCCACAGAACAGTAAAAGAAACACACAAGTTAAATGAAAAGCAGAATATCTGAAGACACTGGCATATGAATATCCCTGGAGAATAGGGCTGGAGAACAGGGGTGGAAGAGACCAACTGTTAAACTTTTTTCCTTTATTCATGACAGAGAATGTGTGCACACATGTTAGAGTTGGGGTAGGGGGAGCACCCTCCATAGGGTCTGTTCAAGCCAGGATCCCCTTCCTCCAGTCCTCTATCCAGCCTGCCAGATCTTGGGCATTCATGCACGTGCCCCCCATGTTTCAGGTAGACTGGGCCTAGCATGTGAACTGGATCTACTTTCTTTTGAGCAGTGCATCATCACTTTGCCACACAGCCAGCCCAACATTCATATTTTTGATGTTATACACATCTTTTTAGCACGCTGTAGTTCTTTTTTTTTTCTTTTCCAAGAGAGAAAAATATTTATAAAAATAGGAAAACCTTTTTTCATACAAAGAAGGTGCTATGAAAGCCTTTAAGAGAGGAAGCTGGTATTGAGGATATTGTTACAGAAACAATCACCCAAGAAATGTCATTTAAAGATTATTTATAGTTGCTACTTAAGAAATAACATTGCTAGGGGCTGGCAGGTGGTGTGGTGGTTGGAAGCACTGAACTCCCACATGGCCAACCACAGTTTGAGTTCCAGACCTGGCGGCTTGCTTTTTCACTTTCCCTCCCTCTTTCTCTCTCCAATCAAATTAGAAAATAATAATAATTAATATAAATAAAAATAATTATTTTTTTTAAAGAAAGAATATTGCTGGAAGACGAAGAAATTGCTTGCTTTCTTTTTTCATTTCTTTTTATTTTTTTTAGAGAGAGATTTTTGCTATAGGGCACATGCGTTCACTGAAGAGACAGAAAGTGAGAAATCATCCCCTGGGGCAGATGGTCATACCACAAACCCCTCCATTCTCCTCTTGGAATTTTGGGCACACACACACACACATGCACCCAGTGTGAGTTTTAAGCTGCCAGGTCCACAACTTGAACCACAGTTAACCACATAGGAGTTCAGCGACATAACTATTACATCAAATGCTGGTCCCAGAAACTGCTTTCTTATGCTTAAAGTTCCCTCCTACGCACCCCCCACACACACATGCACATGTCTTTTCATAGTTAACAAGAAAAATTATTTTTCTCATATGTCTGGATAATAGATTTGTCACAAACATGATAGAGCAGGGAATTTAAAAATATATCTGGGACCAGCATGTGGTATGGTAGTTGGGGCTTTGGACACTCCCACAGGGCCAACCACAATTCAAGTCCCATCCCAAATTTATTCACTTAAAACTGTATTGAGGACCAGCTCCACAGTACAGTGGTTAAGCAAGCCAGATCCCACACGGCCAGCTGTGGTCTAAATCCCAGCCCCAGAGGCTTGAAAAACACACAAGGCATATATGTACACATGCCCCAAATCCCAACAGGATGGAGAAATGAAGGAAAAGGGATTATGACATGGTCACATCCCTGCTCTACTGAGGGGTGCTTTTTTCTGTCTCTCTCTTTTTGGTAAGTGCACACGCCCTCTGTCAACTTGAAAAGAAAAAGACAAACTATGTGATCAGCAAAAAATCATTAAGCCTCAGTTATGTCACTGATATATACAGATAACATCTGACCTCACCATATCACATACAATCAGTAAGAACAAAGTAGAAGAACATCATACATGTATTTAACCAATGGCAACTATAGATTATGGTTCTTAACTATACGTCAAGAACTATTCATGTTCTCAGGGAAAAGAAGAGAGAGGGAAAAAGAGGAAATAAAGAAAATTATTAAAGGACAATTTAAGAAACTAAATACATACTGTCTCCGTAGATCTGCTAATTTAGAAGTCAGAGCAGATATTTCTCCAAGGGATCGCAGAATGTCATCTCTTTCTTTAGGATCATCACATAACTCTGCTATTTTCCGAGCTTCAGCCAAAGCTCCTCGAATCTGTTCTTCTCCTTCTGGTCCACCATTTGGATCTGCAAGCCAATTCTACACACAGAAATGGAGAAGCATATTGCAATCTATTCATGAACCACATTTTATTAGCCTTAACAAGGCTATCATTAATATTTCTAATGTAATCATAAGGCACATCAGTAATTATTTTTATAATGTTAATTCTTAAATGTTTTACAGAGGTTCTTAGCTCAGGTAAAATCAAGTCCACTCCTTATCTTTTTAAAAAAAATTTTCCCATTCCCATTCAGAATAAAATATCTTCATAAGCTTTATCTGATCTTTAAATTAATCATAAACTTTTTTAAGTTTCTCAAACACCTGTGCTTGTGAAATGCTTGAAATCACTTTACAGTAAAGCAGTATCAGAAAACATTAACTCTTTAACATTGCTATGACCAAACATAGTTGTGAATTCTTAGACAAGAAACAGATTTAATGTACTGTAATCCATATTAGGAATTAGGATTCTCGTGGTACTCAGGTTGCTTACTTTTAACTAATTAAAGTATTCAAAATTAAGATCTTTATTTTAAAATATAGATAAACATTCGTCTAAATCTGTACTGGCAGGGGAGGTGTTAATACTGGCAACTGCTGGGAATCAGTCATTTCTTAGAAACATCCATTATCCACCCACAGTAAATAGCAAAAGAGAGAAAGACAGGATATTTATGGAACATCTCTTTTTCTACTTTATCTCCCATCCCTCATGAGAATCACTACCTGGGCAGCATCGATCTTCTTTGCAATGCTCTGTTTTGAATTTGTCATGGCTTCCAGCTTACGAGCCGCATTTTCCACTTTGGCTGTGAGCACATCCAGACCCTGAGATACCTGCTGGGCTTTCTGCATGGCCACCGGTGAGGCTCCTTGTCCTCTACTCAAAACAGACAGAAGCTGTGATTATATTCTCTCAAATACTTAGGAACAAAATATTCATGACACCATAGCACATGTCATTTTTGTTAACAAGCTTGTCTTTTTCCTTTTCCCTAGTAAATCTTGGATAGCATAAGAGAATAAGAGATAAACAAACCAAGATGCCCAAACCGTCTACTTTCTCTTTGGCTTTCAAAAATGCACATTAGCATCACAGAACTAATAACCGAGATGAAGACCAGTCAGCAAATTTTGATAATAATTATTCTCCTCTTGCTGGTGATTACATAATCAAATCTAAACTTCAGTGAGAAAGTGTGCTTGGGATCTTATTGCTATGTAAGGCTTTGTTACCATAGTAATATGTACTTTAGAAATAAATAGCCCATTAAAATGTCTTCTTTATGGACAAAGTGTACATCAAAAATGTTTCAGGAGGCAGCACATAGTGCTACTGAAGGTATACTACACTGGAACTAAGAAGATCTTTGTTCAAATCCTGACTCTTCATTCCTATCGAACTTCCTTTACAATATTTAATCTCCATGAGCATCAGTTTTCTAATCTATAAAATGAAAGTAACTTACAAAAATGATACTTTATAAGGCAACAATATTTGTGCTACTTATCTAATAGAATGGCTTCAAGCATCAAGATAATAAACTTGAAAATACTTTGGCAACAAAGCAATAAGATTATATAACCTGTTATTACTGAATTATTATTATTATGGACATAACTGATCATCTTAAGTGTCTACCTTCCCTCCAGTACAATCTGCTTGGTACTGGGTAGAAAAATGCACATGGAAATACCACTATTTCCCATCAAGTTCCTAAAGAACAAATTTCACTCTTTC